TTTAAAAGTTAAACTGTAGCGTTAGATTACAGCAAAGGTAATCTTCATGTAAAAACAAGGGCAATGACAATGAGCATGCACAATTTCTCATCTCTGTGTGTATAATTTCATCTAGACTGGACACATACAAGCACACATCCAAGCACCGCATGAGAAATCAAAGATTCAGGCTGAGAGGAACAGATAGATGAACCATCGTTAGTGAAAAAATCAATTGAAGAAAACGAGGAGAGAAAAATATCGATCACAAGTAAACTTGTTTCATTCTTGAAATGTATTGATAAAGAGAGTTCAGTGTAATTAAAGTTGATTATTTTACCCAATACTTATGTGTACTTTTTATTTCTGTGCTTAGAGTATTGTTAGCTTAGCACCATGTGTACATTTTATTTCTGTGCTTAGAGTTGTGCCATTAGCTTAGCAACATGCTAACAACAGACTCTTGAAGCGAGTTGTGTGTCGAGTCTCACATGTGGAACACTATTCGAGTTCTATTCAGTCACTCATAAAGCTTCCTCAGACGGCATCCTATTTAGACAGAAGACACGAGGCAGCTCACTAGGTTTCAGATAAGAGCTCAGGTATATCTGATAAAGAGCAAGCATGTTGGTTTCGCACCCTGCTGCGTTGTTAGTGCACTGCCAGGATTTTAATGAGCTGCCATCATGACCTTTCACTAGATACTAACTCTTTATTTCTTGCTCGCTCTCTCTCTCCCTTTTTCTGTCTGGCCTTGTGCTGCCCTGTCAGAGTTGTTTGGTTCATAATTGCTTCTTGTCTAAACTGTTTGTCTGCTTATTCATATATTAATACACTGTTTCCGTCTGGTGTCAGTGTGCAGTGAGATGATGTAGTACATGTTTGTATGCGTGGTTTCTCACCACAAATCACCAGGCACTATCCATCCCTGTTGCTGATTCAGGAAGGGTGGAATGACTCAAGCTGCCACATGCGGCACCTGGTGTAATACAGCAGTCCCCGCATCATGCCAAAATGCTTCACAACATGACCCAATCACACAGACCATCAGATGATATTTAACATTCAATGTGCTGTTATAGAGTGCAACAGTTGTGTTCGAGATGTAAAATTCACATTAATTGTCTCCATGATGGGGAGTTGATTTTAAAGAAAAACTTATAAACCTTTAAAGACGGACCTTTTTAACAGCAAAAATTAGTTTTGTGTGAAATTCTGTCCCTTACAGTGATAGTTGAAGTTATAGTGATAGTTGATTGTTGAAGCAATCATCAGTTCCTTATGTCAAAAACTACATCACACCTAGTTTCACCTTTTTAGTACAAAGTTGGAACTGCCTTAATTCTTAATGATATAGATTCAATATGGTATATTTTGATCAATATTGACATGGTAGCATCATTTGTTGGCTGCACATGCAACTTTCCCGTTCCACTCTCCCGAAATCTAGTGACTGAGAAGTCTATTTGAGTATAGTGAACTCATCGTCATGTTCAAGAAACCAGCTTGAGATGATTTGACCTTTGTAACGTGCCATGTTATCCTGATGGGTTCAGCCATCAGAAGATGAGTACACACACTGTGTCCATAAATGGATGAACATGGTAGTCAGCAACAGTCAAGTAGGCTGTGGCATTTAAACAATGTGGTACATATTCTCAACAAACCCTAAGATGGTTGTGCATGAAAATCCTAGTAGATCAGCATTTTCTGAAATACTCAGACCACAAAATCAAACTTAAAAACCATGCCACCTTCAAAATCACTTAAATCACCTTTCTTTCCCATTCTGACGCTCAGTTTGAACTTCACCAGATCATCTTGACCATGTCTACATTCCCTTAGTTGCTGCTATTTGATTGGCGGAATAGATATTTCTATAGCAAATCTATAAAGTGGCTGATAATGGATGTTGAATGAACCTTATATATGGGATTCTTTGATGGGTGTCATATTCGTAGACGCATTGATGTGAGCTTGACTGACGTGACCTGAGAACTTACGCTACACTTGATTTGAAAGTTTGAAATTTAGCAAAGGTCACCTTAAATCACAGCACTCACACTAGAAGACGAGTAGAGGATGTGAAGGTGAAGAAAGAGAGAGATGAAGTGCCTGAGGCACAGTCAGAGCACTCTGGCTGGTATGTTTGATGTTAAATTGAAGTTCAGATTTCATATTAAGTGTGTTTTGCCTGCTGCTGTACGATTAGTAAGAGTAGCTTGGGTACGAGAAGGGGTTTTGCTGGTCTGAACACACTCGGTTGACAAAAAATATGATTAAAGAGAAGGATATTTTGATATTCTGATATTCTAACCTTCACTTGATTAGTTAGTTAGTTGGTTAATTGATGTGAATCCAAAGCTTGCATGGCAAAGTTCTCTGCCATGCAATTCATTTGCTCACATAAATATGTGTGAAATTGCACTCAAACGCACATTTGAATTAATGTTTGGATGTGTTCCTCACAACACACTTGATTAGGCTTGCTGACTTTTAATGAATTCAGTGAAAATGTGTGTGTAAAACTGGCAGATGGTAATTATCTCATTGCTCCTGTTATGTTGGAAAATGATCCAAAACATGTTTGTGAGTCATTTAGTTTTGCACATTTTCTTAATGCACACCATCCCTTTAAAATCATATCATCACTTAATTTTAAATCAAAAGACACATCTTTAAATATAGCTGCAAGCAGCAATTGCATACAGCATGGCTGGGAGTGTCAGACCATTTACAGCAAGGAGCAATACGCTGATTCCACGCAGCCGCCATTTTGAAATGGCTCCGATGGGAATAAAACCGGAAGTGTCGCCTTTATTCATAGGAGAGTCACGAATGCAATGGCGCATTGTTGTGTTTAATGTAGAAATTAGTTATTCTGAAAGTACATATATTTCTTTCATACTTAGACCATATACAGAGAAATTAATTTATAAATAAAATTATTTTTATATATATAATTCAGAACATAAAAAAGCAGGAACAAACTATATACATATCCTAGATTGGATATTAAAATCCAATTGTGTAAATCGCGGCAGCAGCTTCAGGTTGGTAGTCCAAGGCATTGTTGTCCATCTGTTCTTCCGGGGTTCTTCCCACTGGAGCCTCGCTTTCATATTTCAAAATGGCGGCTGCGTAAATCAGCATATTAAAGATATTTAAAGATGAATTTAGGCAAATGGTTGAAAAATCATATATTAACTAAAAATATGACTTAATGATTTATCACTTTTGACCAATAGGTGGTGCAGTTATGAAATCAATGCGTTGTGGTAAGAGTGAGGTGACAATGACGCATACAAAGTTTGGTGTCAAAATCTGAAGGCATTATAGAGATAAAGCCTGAATAGTCATTTTGGCTGCATGCCTCAACTTTGATGCTGTGGTATAAACGAAAACGGTTTCGTCTATCGTCACAAAATCCATAACTTTTAGTCGCCACGGTCTAGATATGATACAATTCGATTTTGGTGAAAATCGGACCAACGGTCTAGGAGAAGTTCCAAAAAGAAGGTTTTAAAAGAAAATAAAGATGTCGGACAGGATGTTCATCCAAATATGTAATATCTTGGTATCTGTGTTCATGGAGTGACCCAAGGAATCACAAAGACCAGTGCCATTACAATAGGCAAATGTATTTCAAAGTTATTAGCATTTTTGGAAATTAAATTATAACTTTTGACCAAAAGATGGCGCTGTCTCAATCTTTTGATTACCTTCAGGGAATGGTGCTGGTGGCACACACACACAGTTTTGTAATGTTACAGCAATGCATTCGTTAAGTATTCATAGATGCCACAAGTCACTCCAAACAGAACGCCGCCATATTTACGACCGATCTCGCCCAGGTGTGGCCGCACAAACTGCCCTTTTGAATGAGAGAGAGAGATACCTGGAGAAAATTTCAATTTTAGGCTTAACCCCTGCATAACCCCTCCCCCTAGGCTACAGTGGGGATCGCTTGAAGGCTTACCAGGATCAACTAAATGCTGGATTTTCAAAAGTATATAAAGTTCATGGCTCCATTGTTGCAGTAAACTTGTACAATGTTGTGAATGAATAATTGATTAGATGCTCACCGGTGTGTTGTTGGGGACATCGACATTATATTGTCACACTCCTAAACACGCGTAACAAAACAAACTTTGATTGGTTGTGTCACATGTCAGTCAAAGTCCTCTTGGGCGGCCCTTGGCCAAGAAAAGCTGCGATAGACTCCAGACCTTCTGCCGTCAGTATTAAGGTCTGGCTACGTGAGACTAGAAGCAAAGTGAATGACATTGACATAGTAGGGGCTTTCACACCTGGTAATTCTAGGAATTTAGTTCTGAGAACGAAATGTTCCCCTAGGCCTAGGGCCACTTTTCTGGTTGCGTTCGCCAGTAGGAACTCTGAAGTGACGTAAGCCACGCTTGTTGTTGTGATTTATATTTTGATGGCATGGCAGACTTTTATTTTGATAGCGATGAGAAAGCCAGAACCTGAGCACACAGAGCTCCTATTCTATTATATTAGTTTATAATCTGTTTAAGTCTGTCCTGTCTAATACATTATTAGATACTGTTATACAAAGAAAGTAGACAGTATGAAAAAGTATTGGTTGATCTACAATGTCGCTCGGTGAGCAGAAGTACATAATCATGTTTTGCTTTAGTTTTTTGAGTAAATAAATAGGCTATAATAGCTTTTTTTTAAATGGCGGGTGCCAATGTTTTGCGTATTTTCGGCCAATCAGCGTACACTTACGTCAGTGGTAGGTCCTATTGTGTTGTTTTATCGTCCTACTCTGAAGTAGCAGCTAATTCAGTTCCCCCAAAATGAGTTCCTAGAACTGAAATCAATCCTAGTTCCTACGGTGCGAACACGCCATAAAGCGGGTACCACCAGTAGTTCTAGGAACTATGAAAAGGTTCCTCCAGCCCGAAAGCCCCTTGTATTCGGCCGGAACTTGATACTGAGGTGCTTACAGTAACATCTAAATTTCTTTTTTTCTCTCTCTTTTTTTCTCTCTATAGTGTGAGGCGGAGTGTTTGGCCCATGTTGCTCTAGGAGTGAGTGTGTGTGTGTGTGTGTGTGTGTGTGTGTGTGTGTGGGTGTGTGTGTGGGTGTGTGTGTGTGTGTGTGTGTGGGTGGGTGGGTGGGTGTGTGTGTGGGTGTATGTGAGTGAGTGAGTGTGTGTATGAGATGCTGGCCTGTCTGCCAGGGCCAGGTGATCTCTCCCTTCAGCTCCACCCCCACTCGCAGATGAACACTGGACTTCAGAAATGTAAGTACAGAAACCAAAAAAAAAAATAGTTCAAATGTTCTATCATCACTCACCAAACTATTTCATTCTTATGTGGAGCATAAATAAGATAAATAAAATAAGCAGAATATTGATGCTGCTCTTTTCCATAAAATGAAGATGATAGGTCACCAGGGAAAGTGAATCTCCAAAAATTACAAAAAGCACAATGAACTAGTCCAAAAGAATCATGTGCCATGTTCCAACTCTTGAAGTTATGTGAGTTTTGTGTGACCAGAAGAATTACTACTTTTATTGTGCTTTTTGTCATCTTTTGCTTTAATGTTATGGAAAAGTGCATCTTTCTGGATTTAACAGAAGAAAGTAAGTCAAACAGTTTTGGAAGGACATGAAGGTGAATCAATTAAAGGTCCCCTGACATGAAATTTTCATTTTCGGAGGTTTTTTAACATTAATATAAGTTCCCCTAGACTGTTTTTGGTCCCCTCGTGTCTAGAATTTTCAATTGGTGTAAACCAAGCTTTGGCTATTTTTCTTTTCTCTGCATCCGTCTGCATCTTAGACGCGCTGATCTTGAATCTCCCATATATAATGTCATACGGGGGAAAGGTTACTCCCTTTTCTCTGCTTTGCCCGCCCAGAGAATTTGGCCCGACCATGAGAAAACGAGCTAGGAACAGGAAGTACGAACACGCAGGCGCGATTTTATTTTCTCCTAGAGAAATAGCTTTGAGATTTGAGTTTTTCCTCGAGGGATATCATGGCTTGCAAACAAGCGAAGCATGGCAGTTGCTCAGTGTTCGGATGTACAAATGAACACAAAAGTATTTTTTAGTTCCTTCATCCGAGCCAATGGGTTAATTTTATTTTCTCTGGAAATGCGCCGACTCAACTCCCAAAGTTTTGTATGGTCCAAACAGGCAGGAGACAGGTAAGTTAATCTTTCCCTCAAAATATCAACTTCACATCGTTTCTTTAAGTTGGATGAAAATAATCTTATTTAAAGAAAGTGTTTAGCAGGATTGATATTCAAAACGCACGCGCTGCTTTGTTTACGTTATGTGTATCTGCAGCCGGCAGCGTCGGTTTTCCTTTTTGAATGACGAATATAGACGAATACATCTGCAAAAAAAAATAGACAGTTGGCTTATTAAATGCAGGCGCACATTCTAGCTTACAGTCGGCTTCTGTTCTCTCGGTGTGTTCCGGGCTTTAGAGAGAACAGAAACTGCGTTAGACTGCACAACGAAGCTCTTACTGTATGTACATCATCGTGTCTGCATTGGTGAAAGCAGAGAGAGCAGAAACTGCGTTGCAATAAGTTCATTTTCGCGATTGACAGACTGTCATCTGCTGCTCAATGCTCATTACAGCAATATTTTATGTGATGAGAATCTAAATACTTCAAAAACTTCTCACGACTCGTTAATCTCGATATCTGTAATAGTAAAAACGTATAATAGTAAAAGTATTCGAGAGAGTTTCACATGTAGTATGTAGCTATTTCATATGCAAGCATGTCAGCCAATCACAGCAGAGGCCGGTTACACATAGCAGACACGCCCCTTCAAACAGAGCGTTCAAAGCAGAGGCTAAAATCAGGCTGGGAAAAATGCCTTTAATTTATAAATTATGACCATTTTTGATCTAAAAAAACATACTAACATTATAAGGGCAACCCAGGAAACATTATAAAATCATAAAATAACCCCATGTCAGGGGACCTTTAATTTATTGAGTGAATGTTCCTTTCATGATCCCATTTACCTTCCTCTCATCAGTCTCAGATGAACCAGACAAATATTCTTTCATGCTGATGTTATGTGTCTGTTTTAATACCACAAATTCATACAGGCGTTTTCAAAAATGGCAATTAAGTGCATTGAAGAAATGACTAGATTAATCCAGATCTATAAAAGCAAATAAATGTCTGACGAGAAGCTAAACAGAACCTTGAAAGAAAGGAAATGGAATGAGGAGGGGGAGAGAGCAGTGTGTGAGCAAAAGCATATTTGCAGAGACAGATTGTCAAATCCCAGGATTTTTATTAGGGCGGTTTACAAGGACAGACACCTGCTGAACCACACCGCTCACAGAGAGATAGATTGAGGTAGATAAGTGGCATACAGAGGCAGCGAGAAAATGAGAGTCAGACAAACAGAGAAACTGAGTCAGGTGGGGGGGTGAAGGATACATACAGACAGAGTATCTCGCCTTCTCCGTCTGTGGGCAGACATCTTGTCAGATTAGCTCTCCATCAGGATGACAAATTATGCTATGGAGACACGCGGCCTGGGGAGTGCCGATGGCCCGGAGACTGATGAGTCTCACATCGCCTCAGGAAGACCCTCGATCATCAGGCGGCAATTACTGAGAGGGTGAAGACATATCTTTAACTGCAGGGGAGAACAGAAATCACAGAAAAATGGAAGTCGTATTTCTAACTAGTGGGAATGCAGAAAGAGATGGAGTCATGCTACTAACTACAGGAACTACAGGAGGTAGGAAAGAGGTAGGCATATCTCTGTGATGCTTCTCTCAGACAGGTAATGTAAAGCAGGTTTTTTTTTTAAACAAAACCGCACGACTCGGTAAAGTTAGACCTGTAACTACAGGCCCAGAGGGTTTGTCTCTGAAGCGAGCAACGGTAGAGGATTCATTCATTTGCCTATGAACTGGACTAAAAATCATAATTGAAAATCATGCATTAACAGTCCATATCCAGTCCCTCAATCAATAAGACCTGGTGATTTAAGAAAAAAAAAAAGTATCGTGACCGTCTAACTTATTTGTTTTCATTTCTCTGATAATTCCATTTATTTAATAGTGCATAGCCATGTATTATGGGCAGATACTTCTAAACAATTCATTTATGGCTGTTTTCCAATACATTGGGGTTCAAATGACACAATTTTATTCTATAAACCTCAAAATATGGCTTTTAGTGTCAATTTTATATTCAAATTGTCCCTTCCATGAAAATAAAATGTAAATGATATAATATTCAAATATTAACTTCAAGGTTGAGCTGAATGAATAATTAAATTTAAAGGGGTCATATAATGGTACTTATTCAAGTTGATTTTACTGAAATGTGTGTTGGCAGTGGCTGTACAAAACCATCATATAATCATACAAATCTATCGAGTGTTTTTGTTTTAATTTGATGTACAAATTGATACGGTTGCATTGTCCTCAGAAACTCCCGCTGCCATTCTTTCTCCAGAATATACCCTCAACTGTTGTCAAGGCAACACTCCACGTGCGTTGTCAAAACGCTCACAGAACAGAGGGGCGGGGTGAGCAAAGCTCATTATCATTTAAAGGCATATGCACTGAAACTGTGTGCTGAAAACAGTTATTTTTGAGAACATATTGAGAATTTTTAATTAAAGTTTAGGTTGCACTTTATTTCGATAGTCACTTTAGACTTTCTAAGTAACTTTTTCAACTACATGTCAAGTAACTCTCATTAGAGTATTAGTATATATAGTAGACTGTCAGTAGACTGTTAGGTTATGGTTTGGTGTTGGGTTAGGAGAATAAGTTTACTTGTAGTGGCCAAATTACTTATAGTCAGTTGAATGTCTGTTAGCAGATATAAGGTGACAGTCTACTAATACTCTAATGAGAGTTAGTTGACATGCAGTTGAAAAGTTGCTTATATTTAGTAGAATGTCTAAAGTGGACTATCGAAATAAAGTGTTACCCCTCTTTAAGACCCCTCTAAATTGGATTATGCTTGTCAAATGTTCATTTACATGCTTGTAGCTCATGATAAGTGTTATCTGTGTCTCAGGCTTAGTTTGCAGTAAATTCTACTTCCCATGAACGTGCATTCAAAAACACGATGTGTTTTTTTTAACCTTTGTATCCGTTTTCATTTAGTGTTTTTAAACTTGTAGCACATCCTGGTTTAAGACAAATTAAATAGTATCGCAATTTTAAAAAAATTATATAATTATATTTAAAATTAATATTTTGTTATTACTATAGTAATAATAGCCCTACAAACGAGTACAGCAAACCTTGAAGCTCTAATTAAAGTTACATTTTATATGAAACATCACAATTGTTTTGGGGTTTTTTTTATTTTTTTTTTTTATCATTTAGCTCTACCTGAACATCATTGTGTCTCACCCATATGATAATTTAAATTTTTTTTTTTTTTTAATTTAGTAAATGACAGCATTTTTGGTTAACATTATCCAGTTTCCCCCCCAACTTCCAAACTGAAAAATGCAGAGAAGCCTCAGCTGTTTAAAGCACTTAAAATCATGTAATGTAATGATGCATATGCTGGTTTAAACGTCCCATGGCATGTCATTAAGTACCCTTTCAAATTCATGTGCTCCCTGTTGTGGTCCAGATGTTATTGGAGCACATCTGGCTCTGGCACAGTTTCCCTCAGGGAACTCGAGAGACGCAGGAAGAGCTAGAATATACCTTGGAATGCAGGAATGCAAGCCATGAAAATACATTGGGGCAAAAAAAAGACAGTCTTTTGTCTAAATAGAGGATGGTTTCTTTTGCTTTTCTCTCTCTGAACTCTTTCAAAGGGAGCTGAAAAGAAGGTGAAATGAGCGGGGAGGAAGAGATGGCTTTAGAAAAGAAGAGATGAATAGAAGGAAGCTTTGCTTCTCCAGGTGGAATAACCCTATATAAGACAATATAAGAACACCCACTCAGATCAGCAGTCTCATGGATTAAAGAGAGTTTAAAAGTGTGTGTGTGATGTCTGTGCTAAGGGTAAAAAGGCAGTTGGGAGATGTGTATGGTATGCTTAGACAGAAAAGGCTGACAATAGCTGTGTAACAACCCTGTGTGTCTGTAATGGCGCTCCTGGGGTTTGGCTGATTACTGTGATCCTCAAATCACTGCTGCTGATGAGAGAGAGAAGAGAGGGGGAGGAGGGGAGGGGTAGTTCAAAAAAGAAATAAAAAAAAAAATCTTCTGAATACAAAACACAAAAGCAAATGTTTAGAACAATGTCCAAGTTGCTTTTTACTCTGCGTTCAAAA